AGCAGGTGTCTCGTTTTCCAGGCTGGGGTCCGAAAGACTTCACAACTGGTTGGTTGGAGACACTGAAGGATACGGCAGCGAACCGACAGCAGTGGCGTTCTTGTCATTTCTTATGAGGTAAGAATTCTCGAAAAAGTATGTATGCACAGTTAGGTTGTACACTCCTTGGGTTCACCGTAGAGGTTCACTTTCCTTATCTCCTTCCAGTTAGACCCAAACCCTATCATTCTTGTACTTTCTCAATTACCTCGTGTACAATGTGAGTTGAGCAGCGATCAGTGAAGTTCGCTTTGGTGGGAATACACCTCCGCCACGTCAAGACATTGAGTAGGGAGGGCTTCCTCAGAAGAAGCTATTTGAGACGCCTAGTCTTATGGGAGCATTTTATGATGTGCAATGGAAGTGACCAGCCTCACCCGCGACCATACTAAGGTATTCTGAGGCACAAACAATAAATGAAGGTGGAACGTATAGTTTTCACAATATCCTATCTCAATTCAAAACGGATCTTGTTTAAATAAATCGTGCGTGATATTGGCAACATTAACTCTTTAAAGGAACCGGCGGATTTGTCTCGGTGAGAAAAAAAAACAAGTTTTGGTGAGAACGTATCCACCCCATTCGGAGACTCTTTCCGAAGCAATTTGCAAGCAAACGTTCCAGAACCTTGTTGGTTTCAAGCAAAAGCCACACTGAAGTTCTCAATAACTCCTTTCCCTTCACAGAGTAGAACAATCATGATTATTTTTGTACAGCACATCAGAGTCGAATCGATCATTTTCGTGAGAAGTTCACGTGTTCCGCAGGTTTTCTACATGATGGTCCGTTAGTTTTGTATTCGACAATGCCTACTGATAAAAAGTCAGTAATCAAAAGAGGTGTTCGTTATTAACAAAGTTGCCTGCGAAAAAATCTCCGCCCGGGACTATTGTCATAGGTGTTAGTCGAACTGATTAGTTCGTCTCTGAGCTTCTTAACCCCAGAAAGATCGTTTAATACGCTGAAAGTTAGAACTAGCAATGATTATCATTTAGTCTCAAATCAAGTACGCTCGGAGTAACCAGCTGGAGATTGAAGAACCGGTTGTTTTCACCTTATTTCGTGATTCTTTTCATCTTCATCAAAGATGAACACAGGAGGGAGACTTGCATCCGGATCAGGACCATTGGAAACTCGTGTGGCCACCCAACCAAAATATCTCTTTCCCGCAGATGCCTCTTATTTTCTCTACCTATATTTGAAAATAGTTAACGTGGTGTTTTGCGAGAAGTCAGTATGAAAACTCTGCCAATTTTGATCAAAATCAAATCAAAGAAATATAAATTTTACCTGATGAGCTAATACAGCTACTCTGTCAGGCGCACTTGACAGAGTGGAAAGTTCTTTTGCACCGTTCAGTGTACGCTTTGCATCTCCAGAGTGCAAAGTGATGCTGCACTAGTGTGATCCCACTAGTCCTGTTCTGAAACTAGTTGGTTAGAAGTTGGATGAAGTTAACCACTCCTCACACTTGGGTAGTTGTTTAACCGACGATCGCAGCGCAGTAAAGGAGATAATCGCACGCATTTCCAACACTCAAGCGGCGTACACGAGACTAAAGCATCTGTGTGGGCGACGTGAATTTTCACTGAAGTTCTGAAGTCTACTGCGCCGTTGTACGATCAGCTCTGTTTTACAGTTGTGAGACCTTGAATTTGCTGGTAGAACACATTCACCTGGATGTTTTCAACAATTGTTGCGTACGTAGTCTGGTCCATGCCGGATAGGGTGAAGTGGTTAGTAGCCTAGCTGTTAATCGTCGTGCATTGGGAAATTTATCGAGGAAGAACTCGCTATCGCATCGAATTCAGTTCAAACTCAGCTGGTTGGGACGCGTCTTGCGTATGTCTAACCATGGCCCACCACAGAGCGTCTTATTTGCAATGACTGCTTGAGACTGGAGAAAATTAAGTGAAGGTCGACGGATAAGGCATGAAGAAATGCACAGGGTGATTAAGTATTGCAGGTGTCTCTCGTCTTCCAGACTGAGGTCCAAAAGACTCCGTAACTAATTAATTAGGGACATTGAAGTTCGTGGCAGCCAACCGGCAGCATTGAATACCGGTTGTCACTGCTTATTATAGCAGAATGTTAGAATTAGTGTACACACAGTTAGACTGTGTGCTCCGTGGTTTGATGATGGAGTTTTATTTTCCTTCCCCATTCCTGAAAATAGGGCCAATCTCTGTTCAAATTACACATTCTCGTTTACGTTGAATGCGTTGTGAATTTGGAAGGAATCAGTGAAGTTCACCTCACTGTTTTGTGCTGTAAGATCATGATCGCACTGACAAAATCTATTTGGAAAGGTGAATCTGCTGTTTAAACCTATCGAAATGACTGTCAAGTTTATTGGGCGCGAGTTCACTGCCTTCATTATCTTCCACCTCATATTATTCAAGGTCGGCTGACCCCTGTAATCACAATGGAATTCCGTATTGCCATTGTAACTGTCGATAGAAGCATACCGCCTCCTCCCATTTGAGATGAGTATACCCATTCGTACGAGTAGTCACTTTATTTAGAGGATTTCTAAAAGCCTTCTAAGGTTGTTAGCAGATTATATGCACCATAGAGTACAACTGTTTAGAAAGAATAGTTATAGATAAAACCTGGGTGGGTATGGGATACATGCATCTTAAATTTAGTTCAATGTGTTTAACAATTGACCGGTTTCTATTTGATTCTTCCTTGGTGTTGTTTGTGAATTATTCATTGTCCTTGAATTCGCCTACCCAGCACACAGACAACCCATATTCGTCATTTCATCCCCTGTTAGTTTGCAGACTTTCGCTGACTGTATTACCGTATCTTCTTGACCAGTCTAATTGAATCATGAACTACTGATAAATTGCTTAATCAATGTAAACTACCTTAGTTTTAATTTTGATCCTTTAGCAAATCGATGCCGCTATCCCCGCACGAGGATTGGGCTGTTTCAAGAATTAAATCTATCACAAAGTCAAACAGAAACGGAGAGAGAGAGTAACCCTGTCGAACACGACTTCCCGTGGTGAACTCGGGTGAAAAAGTGTCGTAAGCTCGGACTCGGCTTCGGCTATTATTATAGAGGGATTGTACGATTGAAATAATTTTATCGAGCACACCCTTCAGGGAAGGCAGCGCCGGAGTTTAGAGCGGTCGCTATGGCGAACGATGCTTGGCTAGGCAGGTAGCGGTTGGAAAAAAATGAAGGGCGGTCAAGCTAAGACCTGGTATGAGGATGTGAAAACCCTGACCAGAAGACTGACTCACATAGGTCCTGTTAGGCTCTGTGGCTGGGGACCCAGAAATCATGGTCACCGGGGGTTAGAGACACTGAGCGATATGGCTGGGTGTCGCTCATGCATCTATTCATTATTCTTGTAACTTAAGTCTATGAAAATGTGCTACCTTCCGCTTAAATCTGCTCCCATTATTCTAATGATGATTCTGCTATTTTATTCGAATGAACAACCAAAACCGGCGCACGCAAGTGCATGGTTAACGGTTGTAAGAACTGAACTGAACTGAATTTACTGTTTAAATGCATGGTATCGATTACATGCCGTCTTCATGATACATTCAGAAAAAATTGGGATGATCTTTCGTTTATTCATAAGATGGTGAATTTATCTATAAAATACTAGCGACCGTTAAGTTTTACTGGCATATCTGAGTCTACCATTTGTTATCTGTTAGGAGACAAAATATGTGATATCCCGGGTCGCACTTTTACAGATATCCAATCATCTGCATACCAGTCATTCCGGTTCGTCTTTCTGTCCAGAAACCTTCGCGTGATTATTTCATTGAAAATCTAAGTTTGACTTTTCCTTAATCTGACGTAGAGGTAGAAAACAACCTGATACCCAGCGTATCTTTTTTGTTTCAATGCTCGTACCAGTTTTCCCTATCCTAGAATAAAGTTCACATTATTGATTGTCTAAATTTCACAATGTTTATACTTTTGGTTTCTAACCCGCCACTGGAAAAACACTTCAAAACGCATATCTTGTTTTTCCATCCCATATTACATCTACCTGTCAGTTATCGGCAACGAGATTCTTAACGGAAAGGTGGAAGAAATTAATTCGCGAGTCGTTTGCAAAGAAGCTCCCGCCCTTGGCCTCAAACTAATGAAGGTTTCACTCTATCGGTTGCTGACATCGCCTCCGTTCCCCCCTATCCTGGTAGATTAGTGCCATTCCGGACAGTGTGGATTTGATTGCCCGAGAGGTTCGCGAATTTATGACCAACTTTGATTTGGTTCTTACTTCGGGCGGGATCGGTCCCACACACGATGACGTCACCTTCGAAGGTTAGTCCAAAGTATGACCTAATTGGATATCAACACCCATCTCTCATCTCTTCCTCAGGTGTAGCACGTGCTGTAGGTGAAGAAACCTACACACACCCCGAGTTATTGCATGTGGTCGAAACATTTTTCGGTTTCACATCTTCCGATACCACCCCGGATGATCCTCGTCTTCGACTGGCTCGGGTACCTCAATCTTGTGAGTTGGTCTACGGGATCGACTGTTTCACCGGACGTCAAAGTTTTTACCCAGTTGTCAAAGTTAAAAATATATACACCCTGCCGGGCGTTCCAAACCTGTTCCGTACCGGTTTTGGAATGATCAAAGTGAGTGGGGGTTCAATCCAAAAAGTTATCTTTTTTCGAAAGCAAATACCTCATGGTTCATTTTTTTTCTCATTAANGTAAGTATATAAAGACAAACATACAGATAAGATCATCCGTCGGTAGTCATCGTTTTCTCCTCCTAATATTGATCTCTTGGTCCTAGCGAAAATCCAGACTTCTGAACAATGTATCGAGCTGCTTTTAGTCCCGCCTTGACCGCCGAGTCTATAAGCATGTTAGTCATGTAATCGGCTAAAAATCCTGCAGCGAACGCGTCTCCGGCGCCATTTGTATCCACTAAATTCTCCTGGGCCACCTTAGTTACTGGATATTGTCGTATCTCCGGAGACGGCAACGATTACCGGATCCGTTTCTTGTGTGATCAACACAATGCGTCGATTCTGATGACCAGTCCTTCGACTGAGAGAAGTCAAGTGCTGGGCAATTGCAGAAACCGACGCATCTTGCATTTTGTGTTTGCCTGCGTACGCTTTAGCCTCGGCTCTGTTGCAGAATAGGATGTCCACATAGGGAAGAATAGCATCCACGCGGTCTGTCAAGTACTTGAGGACGTACGGTGCTCCGAAATTGAAACAAAACACCTGGCCTTCCGTATGTGCATATCTGGCCAATTCTTTCAATCCATCTTGACAAAAATTGAGCATATAACCCTGGATCGAAGTAACACATCAAAGGTCTGTACGTGAGCAGACTTACCGTGGTATATACAAATCGAGCTCGCTCAATCATGGGCCACGCGTCGTTGCCCTTCAAATGTTCTAGCGAGAGCTCCTTTGATGCGCCAAGGTGAGTGACCATGCTACGAAATCGATCTTGCACCAAAACGGCACACTTCCCGGTCAAGGCGCCGTGGCTGGATCGGAACAGTTTAACCCGCACTCCAACTTTTTCGCACTCTTCCCGTAGTGTGTCAGCCGCGTCATCCATACCCACACAGCCAATAAAAGCACAAGCGTGAGGCTTTTTCAGAAGCCATTGAATCATCCTTATCGTATTCAATCCGGCTCCTCCAGCCTCATAGTGGACCCGATACTGGCTCACAAGCTCCTCATACAGTTGGGTGTGTCCACCGTTGTCCAAGACCGCATCGTCTTCTTTTAAACCATATTTCGTGTAGATCTCATCGCCAACATGGGTTAAATAATCCAACAACGGTTGGCCCACACCCAGCACACAACCTTGAGAGAGCCTTTCCATACGGATAGGCTCTGGCCGACCACACGGTCTGTCCACGTGGAAGTTAGCAAACGCCAAAAATCACGTCACACTTATCGCACGTATGCAAGCCAGTTTTGTTCCGTCCGAATTCATGTGCATGTGGGCGTGACCCGATAACCTTGCGCTGTGATTGGCCAATCAGGACGATTGTAGGCCAACTCTGACCAATCCACAACGAAATGCTTTTACCGGGTATTTATGCTTCCTTACACATCTGCGTCTATTGGAACTATTTTGTATTCCCATTCATTGCGTGGTCTGACCTGGTGCTGGTCCCATACACGACCGTGGTTGGGTTAATTGGTAATTGCGTGGGTGGATGTGGATAGCTAATTCTGTTTTTCTGCACATGTACCGCAACTCGTAGGTGTTTTGAATTACCGACAGAATTGTTGTGGTACAATGTCTATCCACAAACTAATCTGCTTACGGTGTTCATTTTACCGGGGCAGTTGCTCAGAGCACGTGTTTTCAAAAATAAGGTAAGGTCGGTTGTTAAATAGGAACTTTGAGTGTGAAAATTTGGGGATGAAAGCTAGCTAGGGCTTATACGATAATAAACTGCGTCTCATATGCTCTATTTCTGTTCCGTCACCCGTTCTATTTCGTATCCAACTTGAACGAAAACTGGTAAAACCTTTACCAAACTAACTGTTAGTGAATTGAAAAGCGTGCACACGTTTGGCAAGGAGAATGGAGGCAATAGGAAATCGGATCGGATACGAGCGATCAAACTATCACACCTTCGGATTTTTTTTTCAGCATCAGGAAACTGCAATCGAGTTTTTAAAGAAATAGAGCCCCGTGTTGCTCAGTCACTAGGTTGCCGGTAACTTTTCAATGCGGCTTGAACTAAACTCATCAATTAAACTGTGCCCGATACTTCATCTTATCTCTGATGTGGAACCTACCCCTAATTTTTTCATCATTTCCGATTAAATTCAAAACGGACCTTTGGTTTAAATGTTCACACTACTTGAATAGATTATTTGCGAGGAAAACTAAAAATACCGGGTGGATTTTGATTTACCTAACTCTCATTCGACCACCGTTGCACCGAAGCAAAACACATAATATCGTGGGTTTTGACGCTGTTCCCTATCCTGTTCACTTTACTTGTTTGTAACAAGTTTCCTATTCTGATCGAGTCCGCTGAAAGCTGGGCTCAACTCGCGGGTGTTTTACGCTCAAATCGAGGCTGAAGGGCGTGCTTGTACATAAATAAATATGACTGGCCCAATGTGTCTTTGAGATTAAGGCGCTACAACTTCTATTGCTCCACAGACCCTCCCTATATGTGACATCGTCGTGAGCTTTGAAGTCAATTACGCAGCTTTCTTTAGCTTTTCCAACCAGCGAATATGGACCATTGTTCTCCGTGGGAAGATTTGAAACTGGAGAAGTTTTCAGATGTGTGTCTTTGACTCGCAATTGCTTGTTCACTATTCTTCAGTTAGCAAAGGTTGACAAAATTCCTATCCAAGCGTGCTAAGCAGTTGTGAGATTTTTGTGGAACTGTATTTCAGTCAATTATGTGTGTCTCAAATTTCCTTAAAAAGTTTCTGGTAGTACGTTTGAAGGGAGTTCATCAAATGAGACAAGTAGAATAGCTTCAGGGATCTACTTTAAAGTTCAGCCAAAGCAATTCGTCTGTATGTGGGTTAAGGGGGTTTGCCAAACCTTAAACACAATCACTTTCGCCTCGGATGCGAAAAATGGTTAAAACTGGTGACAAGCACTCTCCATCGTTCTAATGTGTTTAATTGATTACTGATTGGCTAGGGTGTTCGTTCAGAACTGAGTTGCTCGTGTTTAGGACTCAAAAATTTGAACTAGTCGATTGTGGAGCACTGTGCGTCTGTTTCCTCCTTGTTGCGTGTCCGCGACAGTGTGCGTCCATCGATACAATGCGTGAGTGTTTTTGTTTAGCGCCAATAAAAACCACTCGTTCGTCATTTTTCGATCCGTAAACACGGTCAAAATGGGAAGCGAAAAATTCCTAGGCAACTAGGTCCCTGGGCAAACGGCGATAGCGCAATAGTAAGAGGCATATTTTTTGTAGCTTTGTACTTATACCGTGTGAATCTTCACTACCTCGCCAGATAAATATTAATTCGTTTAAAAATCCGTTGCTCTATTTACGTAAGTTTCAGAGTAGAGATCATTGAGAATTCTGCCTTGGTAAAATCTTTAATAGAATAAATCCATGACATCCATTTGCAGAATAAATACTCTCGATTTTGAGGGATCCACTAGGATTAGCGTCGCTGGAAAGCATTACTCTGCGATCATGATTTCTATTTTCAGCGGCTCAAATGTGGATTGGTTAATACTTCAGAATCTTCAATCTGGTGGTATATTACGTATTGCTGTGCATCTGACCCTTATTAGATCGGCGAGTTGATGTTGGCGGTCAAATGGTTTAACAATAGATCATCCAAGGGATCGATCCTATCCACTCTCCGACTTTACATGTGCGTAGTAGCAAAATGAAAACACATACCTTGTTGTACGTTGAAAAAATTTTTCTTTCAGAGATTTTCGAAGTAGGAAGCGAAAGTGGTGCTCCATGCACAATCAAAGAATGAGCTGGTGTAATGGTCATTGAGTTGTAATTGGACAACTATTTCCCAATCAACAAGACACTTTTTCAGTTCGTTGGGCGCCTGATGAGCTCGAAAAATAAAAATAAACAGATGACAACATGAAGCATTCCTTTTATGTGATTAAAATTGAGGGATACAAATACCAGTGGTGATAGTGAAGTTATATATTTTCACTCAGATGAACCATGGAGAATGCTAGATTCGACCAGTGATAATGCGTGCCATGACTGTGTCCCTGGCTTCAGTATGTTCACTGTGCCTCTCGAACTAAATAGTGAGTACGCTCGACAGATTGGTTATCCTCCCCACCCGCAGCTTTATGTATTTAAACCGTTATAGTTGGAACTGTTTAACCTTATTCAAGAAGCACGGAGTAGCGTACTTCGCCAAGGCAACTGAAGACATTCATCTCTTTGTAGCTTCTTTTTGGAATCTACGGATTGGTCAATTCACTAAACTTCTGGAAGCGATCCTTTTTGCAGCGAAATGGCTCATGATCAACTAATCTTGACAAACATATCTTTACGTTTTGAACACTAGTCCAGTTGGTACAAAACAACTTTGGATATTTAGACAGGTGGAAACAAATTCACGAAAAATCTGATTACAGAAATGTATGCACACCGTCCATAATGATCTAGGTCAGTTTTACTGATAATGCTAGCTGAATATTTTGAGCAAATTGTATACACTTGGTCATTTCTATGCTGAGTTTGTTCGAAAAACATTGTTAGAGAGAGAGTATGTGGGTAAAACAAGTGAAAAATCTCTTTTAATGAGTGCCTGTAGTACAGAGTGACTTCTGATGTGCATATTCGAACTCATCGCACTTTTCTGATGAAAAACATGCACACCATTGTGGCTGCTGACGCCTATTGAATTCATTTTTTTCGCTCTGACCAGGGCGCATACGGGTCCATACGGACTCTTTTCCGCGGCAGTTCATTGTTACCAGCGTGCTTTGGGACCTAAGGTTTGAACCGCGCTAGCACCTTTCGATTTTGGTGGTAGACAGCCCTTCCCACGAGAGCCTGTCTATTGTGTAGTCCGCTGCTCCGAATCCCAGGGTGCAGGTCACCGTTCTATACCTTTTTCATGTCAAGTTGTCCCAGTATCATATAATGCTGTCCGGGGATCATTTCAAAAGGTATAGAAAAATGCCACTGAACAATAGGTCCGCTTTCCAGTGGGTCTCCTCCTCTGTTCATGGCCGGAGTGTGCGATAAAAATAAAAAGGATCATGCGATGTTTGTCAGTATGCCATACATTTTGTTTTATTATGGGGTTCAATCTGTATATCATACCGTTGAGTAAAATCTCACTGTGACCGGCCCGTTTTTCGCCCATCCCGATAGTTTTTAGCTGTCCGTTTCTCCTTTGCGGTGAAAGTTAGAAATGCATTAATTGAGAAACTGAACAAATATTTTGGGGGGATGGGACTAAGTGAGGGACGGAGTGACATTCAGTAATTTTACCTCTATGTAGGTGGCTGGGCTTATCTGAGAAACAAGTTTCGCCAGTTGAATAAGAAGGACCTGACTAGGTAGTATGGTCAACGGTAATGCGAAAATGCCGAATGTGGACAACTACTCAGGGTTTTAATTATACGCTACTAACTTTTTTTTCTTCTTCATAGTTTTGCTTTGATTTAGTATGATTTAATTGCTCGTTGTCATAGGAACCATATAGTCCTTGTTGGTCTTTTATGTTGCGTTAATTGTATATTGAAGTTCGAAGCAACCAATGAGCACCCTTGTGCGTACGCGATTGTCTAACAAAGAACGATGGAAATGTTTCTTGTGTTTTATTCAGTCACTGGTCTGTTTCTTCCCTTTCCTTCGTTCCTTGTGTCATGCAGGAACATCTGCGAGATACTAGAGTGAAATTCTATACTCGTTCAATCTATGTGACTCGAAACGAGACAGAGATTGCCGGTTTTTTGACCACACTAGCTGAAAAATTTGTTCAGGATGTCAGTGTTGGATCCTATCCTGCTTTCCACAATAGGTAAGCGATTGAAAATCATCCGTAAATGTGAAAATATGTGTTTTATTTTTTTGCACCGTTGTTAATTTAAGGGCTCTGGAACTGTATTTGATATTTCTTCGATTGCTCACATCTAGTCTATTTGATGTGAACTGGTGAATCTGTGGCCGGTAAATCGTGGAGAACCTAAATGTACATCTTATTATGAACTTCATGATTCTAAGAGTTCCAGATTTCTATTAAATACCTGATTTATCATTCACACTTTTTTGAAGAAATTTTGATTCGTTCTTTTCGTACCTCGTTTGGTCACAGTATTTTTCTCCTCTGATTAGCATTGGGAGTAGGCGCTTTCTTATTATCTGTCTTTGTACTCCGTTTTTTTCGTGAGTAGCCGTTCTAAGTGATATGCCGTTCGTGACAAAGTTCAAAAAGATGATAATATGATTACGACCTCAATTCCACTCCAACAGACACGAGCGTTTTCCATCCCAACTCGTTCTGCACATTCGCGTTTTAAGTTGTGTATGAGCCGCTAGCTTCACTCCGGCGCATTCGATAGTCATTATTTTTATATTGTTATGTTTTACACTCGTCTGGGGCCAGACTGTGTCAAACAAATCATAGTAAAATACTGTTTATCAAAAGAAAAACGTTCCACGACTTGCATATGGTGAATTTTCCTGAAGAAAACACAACCGGAGCCTTGGGTTAGCCAAAGCCCGACTCGCAAGGCAGCTGGGCGGTGTGAAAACTGTAATTCATTGAGAGCCGGTGTCCAGTTCATCGGATCATACGCCTTTCGGACGGGGTCAGACGTCCAAGGTGCCCAGTACACCCCGATGCCCAATCGAGCCGGAGACCACTGCCACAAACGGAAAGGTGTGTGTGGTTTGTACGCCTCCTCTTGGTTGGTTTGGAATAAGGGTTTTTGGCCAACTCCCCTAGGTGAACTACCAGTGGTCCACCAACCCGGTTATAGTCCCGGATGTGGGCTTTTCTTCCTCACTTTGTTAGGGAAACACCTCCGCCACGAGAAGACAGTGAGTAGGACTACCTCAGCAGGTGGTCGTTCCGAGGATCAGACTCTGCCATCGTTGTCCCAATTTCTTTGTTGAACAACTCCGTAGCCTATTGGGGCCATGTGTCGTTTTTCCTTTCGAATATCCGGGTTTAAGCCACTGGTTTGCACTGCGAAACAGTTGATCCTTCTGACTTTGGGTTTCATTCATACTTTATCGCGTTGTCTGGGCTAAAGAGTGAAAAATTGCACTACTGAATAAATTACCGAATTCAGATTACTAAGCTTCGTTGGTTAGGGCACGTATTGCGTATGTCCAGCCATCGTCTGCCGCACCGCGCTTTATTCGCTGTAGCTAATCCTGGCTGGAGGATGCCTCTTCAAATATTTGATCTCAGTTGAACTTGAATAACTTATGTGTGCCTTCCGACGGAGGTGCATCTCCCTTCGCAGCTACGCATTCGATCCACCAATTCACATGCTTCCGGCCTAAATTATATCCTGAGACACGTCTCACACAAGAACGTATTCTCTTTTGCCCACGTTAATTAGCTCAAAGGAGTTCGCTAAGATCCATTGTTTTGGACACAATTGATCAAGAAACAAATAATGTCACACTACCAGTGAATTGTATTTTTTATCTTTAGTTTGTATCAAAGCCCATTGCTCATCTGGGTCCCTCAAATTGGTTTTCATTCTCTGGGCTAGTGCGTTTTTATAACCTGTAAATTTATCATAATTGTGGTAATCTGATTGCACTTAATCGCAATTAATTCGTGCGTTACGGGTTTTCATCATTGCACGTGGAGACCCCGGCCGAAACAATGTCGGGGTCAGAGTTCACGCTTGGATCACTTAGAGTGACAGTTATTTCATTTCGCACCTGAGTAATCAAACCCTAAATGGAATCTAGCTCTCTCTGTTTTCCTTTGTCATTCACTATTCTTTGTTGGTCTTCCCGATCAGTTATTATCGTGTCTTGGTCACCTTGGATTCGCAATGTCCAAAAGCGCTAGAAGAAGCTCACCAGGAAGCTCTCGTTCATTTTGGTTCGGGTGAGTAAAGTTTTTTCAGCTAGCCTAATCCTCATTCTAGTTTGCGATAGCAAAACATTTCAACCGGATTTTCTTTGCATTTTTTCGTTACATAACACAAATCTCACGCAATCATCCGTTAGTTAGTCAACTACCGAACACGTGTAGTGTACCGTGCGCTACTACGTGGTTCGTAGTCTGTTTGACATTCGTGCATCCCGACACAACCGAATCACATGTCTCTGAATAAAGATCGTTCTACATATCTGGTGATATTCCTTTCCCAAATGCACCCATACCATCTATCTTTGATGTCGCTACACTGTGTCGATCGATAAATTTCGTTCCCATCATCCGTCCGTCGGATTCGATGTGTGGTCACACGTTTTCCCGTCTGGATGTGGTCGTAGATGTTGGTAAAAATCTGGTGTCTGTTCCGGACATGGGAGAAAGTTGCAACTGCTTAGTTGCCCCAGTCTTGCTTCAGTGGCTTGTGTATCAAAGAACACTTATTTGTACTGTTACAGAAACCTTTATATTGGGGAAACGTTACGCAACTGTCATTTTTTTACAATTAATTCATGCTGCTTTCCGTTATCACGTTCCACTTAGTGTGATCACTCACAATCGACATCACATCGTACCATTTGTTTCTGTCACTTTTTGTCACCAGATCGACACGAGATTTTCTGGCCGATCCTATACCGTTCCGGATCATCACCCTTCAAACATTTACTATACCTGTCTGAATCACTGTCGTTCGCGTAATTCACATATACCGGTAGAGAAAATCAGTTCATATGCACGGGTGGTTTTGGAACTACCTACCTAGTACTATAAGGAGCGTAGAAAAGTTATCTGATTACATGGTTTCTGGAGCAGAATTATGTAATCACATTTAATCTTATGACACTATTTAAGCTATCTTCAACTGGTTGGGAACAATATAGCAAGGGTATCCGATAGGGATAAAACTTGGAAGATGGAACACTGTCGTGTTCCTTGAAGTATGTTTCTTCTCTTTGTTCCCCACCATTTACTCAACTTTCACCGATGTTTCCCAAAAACTACTTAACATACGAGCTGAACCAGGATGAGGGTAATCGAGTTCGGTTCAGTTCATGCAACCGTTAGACCTCCGTTTTAGATCAGCGGTTTCTATGGCCATCTTTTTACTATTTATCTGGTAATCGAAGCCTGAGACCCTCGGCTACCGATACCGTAAGATATGCTGTGACACCTGCTCCTTAGTGAGCGGATGATATCCAATAGCAATAAGGGAATGCGTTTCAACTAACAAAGAATTCGAGGATTTCCGGGTTACGAATGAGCTCCCAAGAAACCACCGACTGCTATGTAACATCACACTGCTGCCTTTTAGTCAGCAGTCGACTGTGCAAAGGCAAGAGACCCACCCGTCCTCAACAAAACACCAGGGACGTCTTTGTACTAAGCTCCCGTGACACTTCAGGATTTCATAAAACCAGCTTATCTCCTTCAATGAATCTGTCGTAGTAAAGTTCAGTATCGCAATGAAAAGACCGGTCTTCAGTCAGTCTTGTACCGATCTACTCTATCCGTTCATACCATCATTACCCATTGTAAGAAAACACAAATTAGCGAACAAGCTTGTTTACGATGATTCTTATACAGGCTAATACTTATTATTATTATATCATATATATGAGTTATATTATTATATTACATATACTAGCCTGTAAAAGAATCACCACAGATGAGCTTGTTCGCTACTTTGTGTTTTCTGTCCGTTTACTCAACAACTGTTCCGGATTCGCCACCGATTGTAATAAATTCTTCGGAAACAAAAACAACACTGCCTTCTACGAAGGGCTATGGTCGCATCACCCAATTTTCTCCTCCCATGGAAAGAACGTGATTGATAAATTGAGTGTTACATCGGTCAATCCTTGGTTGATACAGTTTTGATTCACTGGAGGAAAGACACAGCCGGTGCTAAACCTCCACCAGAGTTATGATTCTCATCACTAGTTGTGTAGCTGAAAATGTGTACATTTCATCCCTTTCAAATGAAGTGCCCATTGGTGTATATTTGCTTTTTGGAGTTTGTCTAGGTTGTTTTTAATATGCCACTTGTAAATCACTTGTCTCGATCTCTAGAACCGTATCCAAGCGTCTCTGTTTCATGCCGTTCAATGCAAGTTTAAATCAAAGCACGCGCATTTTGTCCTCGATATTCAGGAAAATCTAGATACAGAACCAATTGCTAGGACGACAGTACTTAGATCAAATGATCGCACTTTACGGTCCATCCGGATGCGATGCATTTATGCCGACCTAAACCTCAGTAAGTTTTTGGCCAATTTTATCGGTGAACAAAGTACTTTGATGAAATAAGCTGATTATCACAGGCGTTCAACTGTTACCCCCTCTCAATCGACCGTAATGGTAGTTGAAACGTTCTATTCTTCATGTTGAATTATGCGTTGTCTGCCATACCGAATTTAAACGTGAGGTCACTCGCTTTATGGAAATATGAACGTGGTTACGTAATCAGATAATTTCGGGATTGATTGCATCGTAGTTCAGCCTTATGTGCACCGCGTAACCATGACAGAGGGCATCTGTTTTCACCAATATCATCACCTTCATCTGTCTAATTAAAGACCTGGTGGTAAAGGTGGCAAAAGTATCACTCCGAAGGACGTGTGTTCGAATCCCACCACCACCACCGCATCCTTGTTTTCTCCGCTATAGCAGCCCTTTG